AAAAAATATGGTAAAAATATGAAAATAAAAGAAAAAATAAAATAAAATAAAATAAAATAAAACCGTTTTAGGAACGAGTTATGCTAGGGATCCCAAATAAATTACCAAATAAATTACCAAACCTCTCACATGGATGTGGGACCCACACAAATCACTTTGTGTAGATCCCACACCCATGTAAGAGGTTTGATAATTTATTTAATAATTTGTTTGGGCCTATAGCATTTTCCTTTAGGAACAGCAGGAGCACAACAGGAGGTCATAATAGTGTCCCCCGTATCCCGCAAAATCATGAAACAACCATACGGGGGATTGCAGTTCAAAAAAGAAACCATACGGGGATTGTGTGCTGATTATCTATATTATATGTTGCCTAAGCCAAATTTTAGGAGTTATTTGGCATGATTTAAATAAGTATATTTTTTATTTTTTTATTAAAAGATGTATAGAAAAATATATAGGTGATGTGATGACAAAAAGATAAAAAAATAAATTATTTTTAAGTTGTCAAACTTAACCTTAGTACTTATGGTAGACCAATTACATTAAAAAGGCCAAAAAAACACACAAAAACAAAAAAAAAAAACAAAAAAAAAATCCTAAAGTTATTCACAAGGTGGCCAGCTGTAAGTACTTTATTGATCTGATTTCAAAGGTGGATTTTGCCCAAACCAAACACGCCTCAGTGGTCTTTATGTACAGTTTACTAATTTCAGAAGTTTGGAAAGATTGAAAAAAGATAAAAAGTAAAAAAGTCACTATCCTATTTAAGTCACATCATCTTATTTAAGTCACATCACCTCTCTAATACATCACTTCAAACCCAATCCAAATCCAACCCATATTTCATAAAAAGTCAAAAAATACGCTTATTTAGTATTCCCAAAGTAAAGTATCACATTAACGCTTAAGTTTTTTCAACATTAAAAGCTGTCGGTTGAAATTGAGAAAAATTAAAATGGATTCTCTGCAATTGGCTTAACCAACTGAATTATCCATTGGACTGGTTGAGCACATCATAATATTCATTTCGATAATTTAAATGATTTATTTTAGTATATAAATTTTTTAAAAATTATTTATATAAAACATTAAATTAATCAAATAACCAAAATCTAATGATCATGTCACATTTGTTATTAGAGAAGTGAATGATAAATATGATCTTGAAAATAAATCGCTCATTATTTTGAAGATAAATATAATCTGATTATGTAGATACACTTTAGAAAGTATTACAAGTTGTTTTAGATGAATACAACTATAGTTTTTTTCGTGTAACATATTAAAGTTGTTTATAAATTAAAAATCTATACTATATATTAAGTGAAAGGGGGTTTTTAACCCCAAAGCCTGTCTAAGGCCTGTGAGAACTTCAATATCCCAATTTGAATTTTCTAAATTTCTTATTAAAAAAAAAAAAAAACTCAGCATTTATTCATTTGGTCAAAATTTTCTGATCAGCATTTATTAATTTTTTTCAATCCACATGTCTTTCCTCATGCCTGCATTTATTGATTTGGTTAAAATCTGCTGATCAGTATTTAGAATCCCCTTATATAAATAAATATAGATACAATCTGTGTATAGTTACTGCAGTACCCTTTTCAACTTTTCTCATACACTATGGTTAGTGATAAGATTGTTAAATTAATTTTATAAAAAATCTTAAAAAACATAATTTATATATTAAAAAAACTTAAAAAAAATATAAATATTTATAATTATCCCGTGCATAGCACGGGTGATAGGCTAGTATATATTATATCAAAGTGTTTAGTGTAACTTATGTTCATAATTTATGAAATAAAATTATAGTTTATTCTTTCATAACATAGCAAAATATTTTTTACAATTTTTTTCTTAAAGAAATTGACTTTTTTTTGTACTTTAAAAACATTTTCATTTTCAAGATTTTATCAAGAATGAAGGGAAATTTTTTTTATGAAAACTAAAAACGAGGATAATTAGCATTAAGTTAGAGTGACAAAAAGTTGATTAGAAATTTAAAAATAAAATACCATAAAATGAGTAACAATATAAAAAAAAATGATAAAAATATAAAAGTTGTATAATTTCCACCACTTTAGGGTACATAATGCAACTGGAGTGGTGGCCAAGTAGATAACAAAACCTGTCTTCCATAGGAAAGAGCATGGTTCGAATCCTGAAGGTGCGAATAATTTTGATTTATTATGGCATAGTTTGGGAAGTTAGTTTTGGTGGGTTAGGAGTTAAAATAACCACAATAAATAAAATAGACTATTTTAGTCACAAAAAATAAAATATCAAATCCAACCCATAATCATTACACTATCAGGCTAAAATAGCTAAAAAATCAACTCACTTCCCAAACGGAGGCTATGTTGTATTCCGATTGAGACTCTGTCTCTTATTGTGGCATGTAGGTGGGGTTTGTTGTGTGCTTCGGTGGCCAGTCTCTTCCTTTGAGTTGAGTTAAATCTTATCCGCAACCGATCAGGATTTACGAATGCCATGATACCCTAACGAAATTTTTTTTTTTTATTATTCAAAAAACAAAAGAGAGAGAGTACAAAATGCATACATAAAATAATATAATTTGTGCACATAACTAACGCTTTTTAAATAAGTGATTTCATAATATTGATTTTTATTTTTTCTAAATTTTGGTCCACTCTCTATTTGTCAAAATCAAATAAGTATGGAGAACATAACTTTGTTAAATAAATCAAGTGACTCAAGCTTTAATTCGTATTCGATTTGCTAAAAGTTTATTTAAAATCAACTCATTATATAAATAAAGTACATTTAAACATATTTTAAAATTTATTGAATTATCAAATAAAATTTGAACTATTTACTTACTGGTTCAATAAAATTATATATGCATTATAAAAATTTAAATTACTCGAATTCGACTTGTGTTATGCTCATTAAAATCTTATTCGAAATTGACTCATTATGTAAACAAATCAAACTTAAATTTATTTTAAAATTTGTTAAATTTTAAGTTAATTTTAAACAACTTAATATTCAGCTTGTTTACATCCCTCTAGAGACGAGAATTCAACAATTAAATATTTGATTTGGGCTGTAGATAGGAAGCTCATCATAGATCTTACTATAACGATCTTTTTTTTCTTTTTTGTGAATTTAGATTATTAATGTAATAAATAATTATATTTCTTCTCAAAAGGAAAGAAAACACCAAAATGAAGGAGAGAGGTATATAATAATAGACAGCACGTGGAGTGATAGCATAGTCAACTGTCGTCGGATCTTTACAGACTACAAAATTTCATAAATTATTATTATTGCTGAACCTTCTCTTGTCTAGGAGAAATTTTTAGAATTGGGATGCCTACATAGTTGGGATCTATTATTTTAATAATTTTTAAAATTTTTTTATAAAAAAATATATAAAAAATAAAAAAAGATATGATAATTTATAATGATTTTAAATTTTTTTTAATTAAAATATATAATTGACAAATGAGACTTTAATTTCATTTTCATCCCTCTCACTCTCTTATTTTAGGTTCTATTGAATTTATGTTAAAATAATAACTTTTTGGGTATTTTTTTTAAAAAAAACTTTTGATTTTTTAGGTTTCGACTGGAAGAAAATTCTTTCTAGCACCTTTTTCCTATAGCTATATAGAGCCGTGCTACCGACCCCCAGTGGGGCGACCCCCGCTGACGACTCCCAGTGAGGTGTCGCTTCCACATTGACCACATTTCCATTGATTGGAAAAAAAAAAAAAAATTAACAGAATTTTTTTTTTCACCAATCACACACGACCCAGTACCCCCACTGGGGTCGGAGGCTTTTTCCAGCTATATAATGACTAGCAGTTAAATTGTGATTCGAGATAAAGAAAATGATAAGGGTATCCAAATCTAAATCCACTTCGACTTATTTCAATGACAAAAAGTGAGAAAAAAATCACCTTATTTATTTATTTATAATAAAATTCAACTATTTGAGTGTTAAAAAAATCACCTCAAAAATTCAAAAACTATTCACTAAAGTCCCCCAAAAAATAATTCCAACCTCTATATGAAATTTTCCAATCGCAAAATAAGTGTTTTTTTTTTAATTTTTATGAAAAGATATATAAAAAAGTAGAGAGGTGATATGATACGAATAAGTATTTATCTAAATAAATGTACTTATTTAAGGGATGATAAACAAACTCTTAAAAAATATTATGATGTTTTTATCTTATTTAAATGAGTCATAGAACTTGTTGAATCCTAGTTGATGATTAATTTTATACATAAAAAACATAAAACTTTAATTATGAGGGTTTTGATGTTGGGGTTATTTCGCTTGTAGTTCATTTTGATGATTATAATTGTTTACTTTTTAAATATTTATCTAAAAAATTAAATTAATTAATCATATAGTTATATTATATTTTTATTATAAAAATTTGATAATCTATTTTCATAAAAAAAAAAACAAGATAATCAAATATCGATAGCTATACATTTAAATTAAATTTGTATTACAAAAAATAAATGGTTATTCTTGAACTTATATTTGTCGTCAATTTTTTTAAGATAAATATGATTTAAATATATGATTATTGATATTCGATCATTTTAATTTTTTTATACAAACATTTTTATCAATAATAAATTTCTAAAATAAACGGTTTAAATCAATAAAGTCATCCGAAGTAGGCCCACCAAACCCAATTAAGCCATCTCCTAATTATAAAATATTACATATAAATTAAAATGCCATTATATCTAATTTGATGAGCATGCTAAAATTTTAAAAAAATTAATAAAATGAAAACAAATTAAAAATTGGAATACTACAATGTATTAATTGATATATTAATTAATTAATGTATCAATATATGTTATGACAAATGTTGAAAAAAAAATTATGATATTATAAATTCAAAATTATAATCTCACATATTATATAAATTATAAGAATTTAATTTTTTAAAAATTATATCATATTACCTATTAATATATTAATTGACTAATTGGTGGATATTATGAGATGCTTTTAGTAAACAACGAATTATGAATTGGAAACAAACATTTTCTTAGGCGACAGGAACAAGAGGAGAGAAAGAAGAGAGTCTCACCATGTTCTGAGATGGAGACAAATACATAAAATTTTGTACAAAACCTTCCTAATTTTCATCTTCTTTGTTGTTTTGCAATATACAATCATATATCATAAAACCCTTTTCTGGGTTTCAATGTTGTTTATTTATTTTTGTTTTCACTTCATTTTTCTAGTGAGAATCAAGACCCTGTTTCAGTAGGAAAAGTAATCTGTTCATATTTGACATTTTTGGGTTCATTCTAGAAGAAAATGTTCACAGTGAGTCCTCTCTCTTCTCCTTTTCTTGGAATCACGAGAAGAAACATTTTTAGCAGTTTGATTTTGTTTTTGTTTTTTGTTTTTAATAACCCATTTGTGTAATCTTCTTGTTTTTTGCTCCCAATTAGCTAAACTTCATGGTAGCAGTGATGGTTAGTGTTTGATTAAATTTTCTATGTGTTTTTCTTTTTCTGTACTGTGCAAATTGAATCTTCTATTAATAAATATATGCTTATTTAATTGTTTAGATTTTTAATTTCCATATTAATGCAAAAAAATAATCATGGGTTTGACATATTTCTTTTTCAACTGCTATTTTGAAAATTCTAAGATTTTTTTTTTTAAAAGCATATTACAGATTGTATCTTGCTGAATTTCCACGGCAATGAAAAGAAGTTCAAAGAATTGGTCACATGTTTGACTTGAACTTCTGGGTCCAAAAAAAGAGATCAGTATCAATACTTTATATCCAAGTTGATGTATATATATTAGTTTCTTCACATGATTCTGATAGAAAGAAGCCCTACAATAAGGGTTCATTTTGCTCTTGTGGCTCTCAACAATTCCCGGTGATTCATGGCCCGATATTCACTGAATTCTTGATTTTCATTGTTCTACAGATCAAATCCTCTCACTGAAATCACGAGCCACGGTGAGATTTTTGATTACGCACCATGGCTTATGGTAATTCAAGATCTGTCAGGTCTGTCTCTTTGCGAATTTAATTTGGTCAACGTTCTTTAATTTAGCTTTTAGCTCATGATCAGTACATACTTTGATGTAGCAATCAGCTTCTAAGTATGATGTTTACATGAAAACCTTACAAATAATTTAGCTTATAGCTTATGATCAGTTCATACTTTGATGTAACAATTAGTTTCTAAGGATATGTTTACATGAAAACCTTAACAGATTTCAAGATGATCTTGAATTAGAGAAATTGCCAACAATCAATAGAGACAGTGTGGTTAAGGTTAAATACAAGATTGATGGTACACAAATATCAGAATCTAGCTCTAGGAATTCTGAGAAGGAGACTGAGATGACAGGAAGATCACTGAAAGCTAAAGTACTGTCCAGAGTCTTCTCTGAGGATTATGAGAGAGTGAAGAGAAAGATATTGGATCCTCGAGGACCGACTATTCAACGATGGAACAAGATTTTCTTAGTAGCTTGTTTGGTTTCTTTGTTTGTGGATCCTCTCTTCTTTTACTTGCCGGAGGTCCGAGACGATATTTGCATAGATATTGGATACACCCTTGAAGTTGTCCTCACAATTATCAGATCAATTGCAGATGTGTTTTACATGATTCAGATATATGTCCGGTTTCGTACCGCTTATGTGGCGCCTTCTTCTCGTGTATTTGGGAGAGGAGAGCTTGTTATAGACACCTCAAAGATCGCCGCGAGATATTTAAGGAAGAGCTTTTGGATCGATGCCATTGCTGCCGTGCCTGTTCCTCAAGTATGCCAATAAAAATCTCTTCAATTTAAGCCTTTGCATTGTACAATAGTGTTGTCATATGTTGAAAAAGGGCTTTGTTTTTGTTGTTTACATTTCAGCTATTGATTTGGATCATTATCCCCAGCCTAGGTGGTTCGACAATGGCGAACACCAAAAATGTCCTAAGATTCTTTCTCTTTCTTCAGTACCTACCAAGGCTTTTTCTCATATTTCCGCTCTCATCGCAAATTGTCAAGGCTACCGGCGTTGTGACTGAAACGGCATGGGCAGGGGCTGCTTATAACTTGATGCTCTACATGTTGGCAAGTCACGTAAGTACAAACAAACCAACTTTTATCCAGTTTAAGCTCATATTCCTTTACAGATCACTACTGTTAACAAGAGGTGTGCTTGTCTTATTTGTGGAAGTGGGCAATTGCCAAACCGCATGAATCTTGTTATTTAGTTACTTCATTTCTTGTCTCTTTTCTGTATGCTGTATGATGTTATGTACTCTACCTTGTCGTTTCATTTTTTCTGGTGTTAGTTACTGCCACTGCTCTGCAAGGCATGGTTGTTAAACAATAGTATCAGAATATGTATTGGTATTGGTTATTCTGTCACATATCGGTTGATATGTTGGTAAATATCAATATCAAAAGTCTAAAATCCCAATACGTATCAGCTGATGCAATATGCATTGGCCGATGTTTAAAACCCTGGCCATAGGGCCCTCAGTGGCAGATGGAAATTGTAGTAGCACATTAAGCTTAGTCAAATATAATTTTGTGCATTACATTGATAGCTCACCCTAGTCTTGGTGATTCATACCTATCAAAGACCAAATAAAAAAGGCTTGGTAATTGATACTTTGTCAAGTTGTTTGTGATTCAAAAAGGGTTTGAACTTGAGCTTTGTGCTCCTTTTGATTCTAAAGAGACAGCACAACAACAACAAAAAAAAAAAAAAAAGCAAGCAAAAAATAAATAAAGAAAGACTAATTTGATTTCGAGTCTTGTTCTATCCCTATCACCTAGCAATTAAGCACACTTTGTTCAACCTATTATATGAGTTCTTGAATAAGATTAATTTGATTTCAAGTCTTGAATATGACCGAAATGTTTTTTTCAACCCATTATATGAATTGTTTGTTTCTGTTGTTTTCCAAATGTAGGTCTTAGGAGCTTGCTGGTACCTTCTGTCAATTGAGAGACAAGAATCATGTTGGAAAAAAGTCTGCCATGTTGATAATCAATCTTGTCAGTCTGACTTCTTTGATTGCCACAAGGTCGAGGACCCAAACAGAAAGGCATGGCTCCTATCAAGCAACGTCACAAATCTATGCGATCCAAATAACGATTCTTATTCATTCGGTATCTACGGTGATGCAACCATATCTCACGTTACATCCACAAAGTTCTTCAACAAGTACTTCTATTGCCTTTGGTGGGGACTTAAGAACTTGAGGTAAGACGTTTGTTGAACTCTCTCTGTTTACTTCCTCCCATGATAGGAACGAAATAAATACATCGTATATTCATTAAATAGAAAAAAAAAAATTGATCTATCTCATACTATTTGGAAGAAGATCTTCGAGATGGAAGAATATATTCTCTCCGTTTGTCTTGGTGAAAAATGTTTTCTGCATTTTTTGACATTTTAGTATGACAGAAAATGAAAATCAATGTAAGTGTTTTCATGATTAACAGAAACCAAGTTTATTTGTGCAGCACTTTGAAAGGTAAAAAACGTTTTTTGGACTAAAATCTTACCAATTTACCACCACCACTGTCTTCACCACCACCTCCACTACCACCACACTACCACCACTAGCACCATCTCAACACCACCGCTAATACCACCATCGGCACATTAGTTTCTAGATTGCAACCGAACATAGAAGAAATGTTTTCTGCCAAAGAAAGCATACCGCTAGATCTTTTTCTCGATCCTACTTTTTACGACCTCCATTTGGGTTCCATTTTTAAATGACCTACGTGCGATAAAAATGTCATTGTCACGCCATTCTAGACGAGTTTTCTGTATAAAAATTTGTTTGTAGATCATTTTCCTTTTAGTTTTATTTCCAATGCTTATTTTTATCAAAATATGCAGCTCTCTAGGACAAAATCTTTCCACAAGCACTTATGTCGGAGAAATAAGCTTTGCCATCATAATCGCAACTCTTGGATTGGTTCTCTTTGCATTGCTTATCGGAAATATGCAAGTGAGTCCAGCAACATATATTCTATGCCCAGTTTAGTTTCCATTGATCTACAGTCACTTCCAAATACTGATATATTTCATTGGCAGACATATCTCCAATCCACAACGGTTCGGTTAGAAGAATGGAGGATCAAGAGAACTGACACAGAGCAATGGATGCGCCATAGGCAGCTGCCTCCAGAACTGAGGCAATCTGTGAGGAAATACGATCAGTACAAGTGGGTGGCGACTCATGGAGTTGATGAAGAAACTCTTCTCAAAGGCCTGCCAATGGATCTCCGGAGAGACATCAAACGCCACCTCTGCCTTGATCTTGTTCGCCGAGTAAGTCACAAAGATTATTCCTTCTTGTTCCCATTGATGATCCAATGTTGATTGTTAATTCAAAAAATTTCTTTAGATAGTGTAAACCAATCTATGTAACCCCCTAGAAGAAACAAAAAAGACTACAAGGTGAGTTGGAATAGACACTATTGAGGGATAATGAGAGTCAGCTAAGATGGTTGGTTCATATAAAATAAACCGCAAGATATATACAATGATGGAGGTGATGGCCAATGGCCGGATGTCGTGGGGACTCGCCGGAGGTGTTGGTCAGAGGGAGTTGCCAGTGACGGTGGCCGGAGGTGGTAGAGGGAGGAGGGAACAAAAATTTATTTACGAAACAAGGGAATGCATCTTTTTTTTTGGTTTCCTAAATTTTGTTTTCAATTTTCAAATTTTTTGTAAACATTGCAATACATATAAACGTTACTAAATGTGCCTACAGAATCAATTTGAGTCTCATATGTGCTGTTAAATGGAATAAACAGGTTCCACTGTTTGATCAAATGGATGAAAGGATGCTAGATGCCATATGCGAGAGGCTCAAACCTGCGTTGTGCACGCAAGGCACATCGTTAGTACGCGAAGGTGACCCAGTCAACGAGATGCTCTTCATAATCCGAGGCAACCTTGATTCCTACACCACCAATGGTGGCCGAACTGGTTTCTTCAACTCATGCCGCATCGGCCCTGGCGACTTCTGCGGCGAGGAACTGCTGACGTGGGCCCTCGATCCGCGTCCAAGTGTCACCTTCCCCTCATCCACCCGCACAGTGAAAGCCCTTTCCGAAGTGGAGGCATTTGCTCTCCTAGCAGAGGACTTGAAGTTCGTCGCATCACAGTTTCGGAGACTCCATAGCAAACAACTTAGACACAAGTTCCGGTTCTATTCACACCAGTGGCGGACATGGGCTGCCTGTTTCATACAAGCAGCATGGCGGCGATATAAGAAGAGGAAGAGTGTAGCGGAGCTCAAGGCTAAGGAGTGCCCCGTGGTGGGTGAATCTGAGCTGTTGATCGGACAATTGGACATGGACGTGCCTCCACCTGGTTCAGGATTCGCTGTCTATGCAGCAAGGTTGGCTGCGAGCACGAGGAGGGGTGGCAACAAAGTTTCTGGATCGGATTCAAGTGTCGTCAGCTCTTTGCAGAAGCCAGCGGAACCGGATTTTTCTGTGGAGGAGTGAATGGGCAAAAAGGCGTTTTGGGTTGTCAAATGTGTGTATGTACATTGTGCTTTGTGATTAGATACAAATAGGACCTTCAAATGATTATTTCATTCAGACTATAGAAATTATATATGTTTATACAGGGAATGTTTTTGAACATTGTGGAGAAGAGATCACCTAACAATTTGAGGAATGTTTGCTTTTCATTTCCCAAAAGGTGGAGAAACCAACAAGGTGTAGTTCCAAACAAATGTAGGTGAAATTTACCCGTTATTATTATTAATTTTTATGAGCAAGTATGATTGGAGTATCAAAATAGAGCTTGTGATGGGATCTTATATTCAATGTACTCTCAGTCTTACAATTGTGGATTAAAATCAATTGTGGATTCAAATATTCATATTTCGTGATTCTTATCACATTATATGATTGAAAGTGTAATAAGAATATAGACACAGATTTTAAGACAGAAGAAGATCCTGACCTAGAATTTATCTGTATAACCATAAGTTGCATTTTAACATCGAAACATTTGAGCTCTAGCATAGTCCACTCTGTTTGATTTTGTTTTCAAAATCTGTTTTGTAACAAAATATTCGAACTGTTTGGTGAAAATAAACGCCAAAAAAATGTTTTTGAATTAAGAAAATTTCTTTTTGCCAACTGGAAAGAATATCTTCAACATGCCAACAACATATGCAACCTGTTATTCTGTCGTATAGAACTGCAAAAATTCCTCTTTTTAATGGCTGATTTTGCTTTAAAATAATAATAATAATATAAGTAAAAAGTAAGAAGTAAAAAATAAAAATAGAATTTCTCAAAACTTGGATTTTTTTGGGCTGAAAATCATGGCTGATTTGTCAAAGTTCATCATTCCTCAGCTCAATGGTTGCCTGTACAATGACAGGATTCATGGTTTGAAGTTAAAAATGAAAATAAAAAGATGAGAAAGATTATGATACACCTCCTTATCTTATAATTATAAAATAAAAATATATAATTTGAGTTATATCTAAAAATAATTAAAAAAATTCATAATTAAACACAAAAAAGTCATAATCAAAATTTCAAAATAATATCATAACAAAAGAAGAAAATTGATCGTAATTAAAAAGAAAATGGCATAATTAAAGATGTATATGATATGGAATGTGTATAATAGAATTTCCCTAAAAGGATAGATTCATACATGGTTACATCCAAACTTAAATTAAGAATTTTTTTTATTTATTAAATCTTAGGATAAATTACACCTACATCCCTTGAGATTTCACACTAACATAGTAGTACCCATGTAATTTTGGAAATTATATTTTCTCTAATAGCAAACCTGTCAATGAAAAATGAATCAATGGTCCTGTTTAGGAACTTGGTTATTTTAGTTGATTTTTTAATTTTTTGACTATTGTATGAGATGAAAAAAAATTATGTTTGGGATGATTTGTGATTTTTTTTTTTAGTTGAATTGATAATTATGAGAAAAAAAGTAGGAAAATTTACCAATAAATCCTATTTCACAAACTCTTAAACCAATTAGTCCCAACTTTATTCTTTTGTTCGGGTAAGTCCTATCAGTGGGGAAGTTTGTTACTTGTTGATCCTATTTTCCATATTTGGTGCAACTGTGTGGACAGTTTTACCCATTATTGTTATGTTTCCATATTCTGTTGGGGGATCACGTGGGTCTTGAGATTTTGTGGGTATAACAGTTGATATTTCAATGTTACGTGTGGAGACGTTTCAACCTTTTCGACTTTAGGGTTGTTAGTGGTGTGGGTCGGTGATTTACGGTGGCTGTGTGACGGACTGATTCAGAAAGTTTAACGAAAGTCGGTTCCCCGTTGGTTGAAAGGTATGTCTTCTTATTTGTATAGCATTTACAGTTTTGTATGTTTTGGTGGAAGGGGTTGAACGACAATAGGTGAGGGTGGGGGGTTATGTGGTGCATTATTTGGGGTGATTTTTTGTGTTAGGCTGGTATGCTCTGTTTTTTGAATTGCTTCCGTTGTGGGTGTGTGCCGCATTACGTGTTGGTGTAAGGGGGGTTCTGTTTAGCAAGTGGGGTGAGGGGGTTATGTGCTGCATTTTTGGGGGTTGTTTTCTGTGTTACAGATGTATGTGTTGTTGTTCAAATATTCTCTTGTGTGGGTGTGTATTGTTTTGGTTTTCTAGTGTTTTGTGGGTTTTCTGGTGTGGGTGCATATTTTCTGGTGTGTGTGTGTATTGTTTAGGGTTTTTCTGGTCCTGATGAAGCACGTGTTAATATTGTTAGGGGGATGGACACACAGGTTATGTTAATTTGTTGTTATGGAAATGTTAATGCCGCAATTAATTTGCAAGCTCCATTTCGGTTTGATGACATGGTTAATTGTGCGTGCGAAAAGTTTCCTGGGTTAACACCGGCCCAAGTGTGTTTGTTCTTCAAGATACTAGGTTATAACAATTTCATATTACATAATGATGTCGATGTGGAAAGCATGGTATCTCTTGCATGGTCTTTCCGTCTGCAATGCATCGATGTCATCATTCAATTACAAGAGTCACGCGACGCTGACAATGCTGGCAGCCCGGTTCATAATCTGCAGACTGTCCCGTGTCATACAGCGGGGGTGTTTGATGATTCGGACATGGATGACGAACAAGAGTTATTGGAAAATTTCTGCCCTCACATTGATAAGGTTTTTTTGTCTGCTCCATGGGCTAATGGGATTCAACATGTTGGTCAAAGTTTTCAAGGTGGAGCATCTAAATTTCGAAATGTTCTTCGCAAGTATGCGGTTGAGTGTGGCTTTCGCTTCGAATTTGTGAAGAACGATTCTGTTCGAATCACAGCTGTATGTACGATGAGGGAATCGAGAGGATGCATGTGGTTTGTACATGCACGTGTATTGCATGCAAATGGATTTTTCTACCTTCGTAAGTGGAACAGCGAGCACATTTGTGGTGTTGCTGTACGGACCCCCAAAAACCCTAGGGCTGGTTCCGATCTGGTGTCCGATGTTATTTGTGAACGGGTATGTGATAAACCACTCACAAGGCCTACTGATGTTGTGTATGACTTGAAAAAAGATTACGGATTGGAGGTTAGTTACCGAGTTGCATGGTTAGGTGTAGAAAAAGCTCGTGGTGAAATGTTCGGTGCACACTCCATTTCATTTGACCAACTACGATGGTATAGTAGCGTAGTAATGGAAAATAATCCTGGGAGTTACATCAACATTGAATATGATGAACAAAACTACCGTTTCATACGGTATTTCATATCATTCAAAGCATGCATCGACGGGTTCAACCATTGCCGCCCATTGCTTTTCTTGGACGGGACTTTTCTAAAAGGAAAATTCAAGGGGAACTTGCTAGCCGCAACTGCGAAGGATGGCAACCAAGGTATTACTATGTGGTAATTATTTATATATTATATTCATGTGTGGCAAATGTACTGACATTGTTGCTAGGAAGGACACTTTTTGTTCCACATTGGCGAGACCGTCATAACACTTGTTCATAATTTATGTTTCACAGATTGGTTATTTGACAAACAAATTCAAAATGCAGGTTTATTCCCTGTGGCCATTGCGATTGTTGATTCTGAAAACACCACAAATTGGGCTTGGTTTTTGGAACACCTCGCAAACGTCGTAAACCGGCAAAGAACACTTACATTTGTCTCTGACCGACATGCGGGGTTACTAGAATCGATACCCATCATATTCCCCACAGCGAAGCATGCGTTTTGCTTACAACATTTGCAGCGTAACTTGCAAGACAAGTTACGTTATGTGAACAGTTCATACCGGTCTGTGATGTTGGCTAAATTTCGTGCCTGTGCGTATGCTCCGACTGTGGCTGCATTCAACCAGAGTATGGAAGAGTTCACAAAATGTGGACATAAGGTTGTGCCTGCTTTCTTAAAAGATTTACCCCCATATTACTGGGCGAATGCTTACTTCCAGTACGTAATTACTTCCTTTTTTTCCCCCACACACAATATATTCCTACAGTACATCTTTCCTGTATCATGCATGCGCATTGCCTATTTTTTTGACTAACACATTTCATCCTTCTTCAAAAGCAGAGGTTCACGGTACGGTGAGATGAGTTCCAACGCCATTGAATCATTTAACTCATGGATACGGGAAGCACGCCACCTACCAATAACTCAAATGATTGATAATATCCGGGCAAAAATTATACGCCAGATGGCAAAACGGAGACGTGAGGCAAATACGTGGGCAGGTGTTATTTGTCCCAAAATGGAAGCTCGGTTGGTCAAAGCGTACAACAAAGGTAGATCGTGGCTTGTAAGCCAATCAAACGATGACGTGTACGAGGTTCACTCTTTTCCATCCGTCATGGTCGATGTTGGCAGACGTACATGTTCTTATTTCAAGTGGCAAATCAACGACTTTCCATGTGCTCATGCAGTCGTGGCAATCCGAAACAGTGGTCTAAACCTGTACCAGTTAGTTATTCCCTACTACCATGTGGCTGAGTACCAGAATTCATATGCACAAAACATAACCCCCATTCCAACTGTAGAGAAACCACAATTTGACTCTGCAGATTTTGTCATACATCCCTCCGCTGTCAAACGCCCACCGGGAAGGCCCAAGAAGAAACGCATGCTTTCCAAAGGGGAACAAGTCCAACAAATTCGGTGTGGTCGTTGTCAACGCATGGGTAACCACAACAGGAAAACGTGCAAGGAACCAATTTAGCTTTTACACATAATTCGCTGATTCGTACTTTTCACATTAAACTTTCACAGTTTTATTATTAAATAAGTGGATGTTCCATAATTCCATATGCCGTCATTCAGACAGAAGAGTTAATGAACAAATTTATTTTTGATGCGTTATTCTGTTTACCTCTTCACCGTATTATTTACATCTGCTTCGTATTGTACTGCTATTAATTTCAGCACATACGCCATAATTCAATGTGTAGTTGTAACATTTTATCGTGATGTGACCACATCCGCAAACATTACACACAAACAATAAATACAGCACAAAATTGCCTGCTAACAACCATGTTTGGACCATTTTTAATATTGTCCGGATAACCATCATGCGGCCCATAATCGTGTCGTTTTCCATCTTTTCCATGACTATAATTTTCGCATACATACCATGCTTATACATCAATATCTTTCAATTTTCGACACCCAACTTCTATTACTACGTGCACATCAACGGCACACATTTTCTGTCCACAACTCAGTTCCACAAGTCTTAAATACAATCACACAACCTACCTACAAACGCATGAAGCAACAGGGAAAACAAACAACCAAAATCATAATGCAAATCATACCATACTTTCCATTCAAAATGCGTAAAACGTTATCCACAACGACTTGTACGTAACACCCACAAAAAATATTTCCAACATTTTCTAAACCTGAATTTCCAAACCACAAGTTCAAACCAACAAACATGTTGTTTCAAAAAAACAAACAAAATGCATAAACCAAATTCAAAAAACAGAAACTGCTGCGTCCGAATTCTTTCTCGTCGCCGTTTCAGACCAAACACATCTAATCCTTCAACCCCCGGGTCGGATCGTTGATGAAATACTTAACCATGTTCGCTCGCAACACACTGCAATTACTACCTTGCAATGTTCGCTCCACGTTGCCACGATACACGTACTGTCGCATTATCCCACACACTTTCACCCCACAATCAAGCCTGCACATGAAATAAGCACATGTAATCAGTGCCACTCATAACAGCATTGTCATCATTACAGTACCCTTACATTTACAACAACACTGTTACTTACGTGTCTAGTTTTTGCTGTGGACACTTAGTTACAGCCTCTAATGGATGCCTGAAATTTGCCTCAATGCTCTGCTCATCCAGTCCGAACTGACGTAACGATTGCATCATAACATTTGACACACGTTCTTTCTGTAATTCAATAAAATTACAAAATTAAACCACCACAAAACCAAATCACCAACCATCGTCTACACAACTACAACCAATTTACACAACACACATACTGGTTACACTTACTTACCAGCAGAAAAGCTTCGGTGTGGTGCCCATCAGTCCTATCCCCACGTTGCCTCATCGGGTTATAATGCTTCCAACTACCATCTTCAGTGTCGTACACTACAAGCGTCCAGTGCCCAAGATGACACATTGGAAAATGCATGAAACGAAACTCGCTCCCTGCAGACACATTCTTCCGGATATAATTTCCTATTGAACGCACGTCATTACTTTTCACCACGTCCTGCAAATACATCATTGTCATGCAACATTACTACACCACCACAACACCAACAACAAAAAACAAATAAATAAATAAATCACAAACTCACCAGGCACACACTACTGAAAAAATATGACTTGTCCACCAACTCATTGTCTCCATACATCCTCAACTGGTCGGTCTTCAACAACTCCACGTACGCATCAACGACCTACCAACCACCATAACCAATTTTCAGAACAATGCTGTAGTAACTAAATAATTGTCATGATGCCACTGTTTAAAACGAAATTAACCACAAATATATGAATAGGGAATACAACATTAAAACCACTATATGTAAACACTCACATTCCCACGCATGGAGCTCTGTCGTACAAAGTTTTTCACATCGCTGAAATAAACCACAACGCTATTCATATTGTCTTCCCACATGACCGCCCTGTACATAGTACTAACGTACATTATACAAATTTACAAATGAATGTAAACAACACAAATAACACTCAAAATACATACGTACCCATCACCGTGCCGCTCATACGCTTTGGTGATTCTGGCCTTCTCATCCATTGTCATTATCTTCCAAACCCCCAATCGGTTATTCAAATCAAACCCAGACCACTTTTTCTCAGGTAACACCACCACTTCGACGTCAATAATTGCATTATGCACGTCACGTTTGCTGTCATCCACTGCGTCACAATTGTTCCCGACTGTCTTCTTAGTACGCCCACCCAACAGTGGGTAATTGTAACAACCCTCATACTGTTTACTGATTAGGGACTGATTGATTACCGATAATCACCGATTACTGTTAAACGAAACGGATAATGACTGATAACTGACTGATAATTGAACTGAGTAAAGTACTGAACTGACTGATTGAAATTGGAATCTGAATTAACTGAGTATATGTTAGTTAATTGCATTCTATCTGTTTGATTGTCTGATTATCTGTTCATGTTTATATGTTTAAACTGCTAATTGAAGGCCTTATCGGCGGCCGAATTAGAAACCGATTAGTGTTTTGTGACCCTCGTAATTTATGTGATTTTATAGTATAATTATCTGAAAATTGATTAGGTATGATTAAATTAAGCTAATTAAAGAGTTGGACTTAATTACCATTTTGCCACTTAAGTGGCCCACTACTTGGATCATCTTTGATTCTCATTATGCTCACACATACACATTTCATCAGCTCATCTTGAGCACACCACCGACTAGAGAGAGGGAGGTAGGGAGTTAGAGTGAATTCACCTTGAATTCCTTGGAAACTTGAAGAATTGCTTGGTAATTGAAGTGTATTTGCATATTTGAGCTCCCTCACTCCTAATTCTACAAGACTAAGGTAGGACATCCATCTTCTTGTTGCTGTCCTTGAGTTCATTCTTGCATGATTCATGTTAATTTGTAGAGCCAAGTCATGATTCGGTTCATTAATGGTG